TTATGGATGTGATTATCGCCCTGTCGTTTTTGAATTTTAACTTCTGAAAATTATTTATTTTAAACAAGTAATCAAATGAAATGTTCAATATTTATAAACTGAATTGAAAGGTTGTTGTTTATTTGAAATAATGCGTTATACCCAAGTTAAAGTTGACTATATTTTAGATGAATATTAATTATGATTTGTTTATCTGAATTAATTCAGAGAAGGTGTGTGATATAATAAGTCTTTGACAAAATCGTATGTAGCTAAAATATTTTACAATATTATTACGAGAGCACTCAAAGTTCACAGTATGGAAGTCTGATTATATTTCAGTGATATGTCGGTTATCCATGGATCATATTTATAACTATTATTGATCACTGCAAGCGTACTCTACTTTGACAAGTCAGTTAAATACTTTGTAATTCAGTAGGATAATCATCAGTTATTGATCGTGAACGTGTATTGAGTTATTTTATCGTTAATTTGATCAATCCGAGGTGACCATTCATAACACTACTATTCATTTTATCTAAATACTCCGAGATAAGTAATACTAAGATATCATAGGCATGATACCTATATAATTTTCATGATAGTTATCTACGTTAATAATGCGACTCAAAATACCAGCTTGTGGTATCCTCTAGTTAAGTTGATTACTTTGATGATATATTATCTGTAAAATTTCAGAGTTTTTGCTTGTTTTTATCGATTAAATATCAAGACTGATTAGTAGATTATAAAAAGCAAAAGACATGATAACAAATTCATAAAAATGTTTTTATTGAATTGTATGTATAATTTTAGGGGTTGGGGAGATTGTTAAGTTTTTGATCGAGATCATGAACCGTTTGATCTTAAACGACCATTGAAATCCTGGAAGCACTGGACAGCCGTTTCGTCCTATTGCGGGACTCCTCAACAGTGCGCATCCACGATCCCGCCCTCCACGAGATTGGAACCCAGGGCCTTCAGTCTCACGCGCGGACACCTAACCTACTGGACCACTGAGGTGGCATCCAATGGTGTTAATGTCTAACCTCAACTAATGCGCGAAGTTGAGCGACCATCTCCCATTTTACTGAGGTAGACATCTGTTTCTACCCGACACGGATTAGCCCCACTGGTCACGGCTTCTCACCAGAACCCCAAGAATTTTCTCACGAAGCTAGTCACTAGTGAGCACATGGTAATTGTCAGTTTTTCAATGGTGGTCTAACATCGATCGGTTCATGATCTCAATGAATTGTAAGTGTTGTACAGTACTTCAGTATGTAGATGTAAATATAATTTAGTTGTGTTCATTGTAAATTGCGTTTTACATATACAACGAATGAGATATGTTGTGAACTCACAGTTATGATAAATAAAGCAAACTACTTTTAATTACAGACTGTTTAAGGACACAGATTTAAATAAACTTAAATAAATTAGTGACTGAAATTGTTAGGAGTCAATAATACATCAGCGTTGTGCTTACACTAACAGTAACATTGAAAATAATCTTTATGAACCGATGATAATGATGTATTTATTCAACTATATTCAAAATTCGACAGTAACCCATGAAGTGTAAGTATTGTACTTTCATTTTTTTTAAAAACAAAATTAGAAATATTGAGCAAACTTTTATCTTTTTATTCATTTGTACTTACACACATTATAATCACTACATTATTTCTGTACTGAATAAAAACAAGTTTATTTTTTGTTGATGGGATAACTTTTTTGTTGGATTCCATTTTATAAATAATAAGAGGTAAATTTTATCATCAGAGATCGACGTTACTTTTTGTAGTCATTAAAAAAAATCAAAAGTATAGATGAATACAAAATTGTCATTACTATTGAGTAAAACCATATTCGAAATAATCGCATTCAACCGTCAACTATAAAATAACGATGATATTACGATTTGTTTTATTTGGCTAAGGAGACATAATGCATAATTAAAAAACTAAAGGTTGACTAGTAGTTTGGATTAGAAGTCATGATATTTATTAGTTCATGTGACAGTTAAAGATCCTTAGTGTTCTTTTGGGTGGTTCATGTAAGTATACTATTAGGTGATGTACTTCTGAGGTTACACAGTTGAAGGGTTTCCTAGAGTTTATATCTATTCCGTTCCGTTGAGTTTCAATAACGGTACATGAACACAAACTTTAGATGAATTCTCCAACTTATTAGAGAAACTACAGCCTCGTTGCAATAGCTATTACAGTTACTGATTTAATTTTGTTTAATTTTTTATGGATATATCTTTACTAAGAGCTGGTATTTTTAGTGAGTTTTTATTCATTCACGATACAAACGATATTGCAAAACACCCACTGGATTTCTTGAATCTAATGAAGGGCCCACTTCATATTATTTCCATACAAAGATTTGTAGATTGAGTACATTAGTGATAATTCTAAACATTCATCTTTATCTCAGCATTGTTCTTTATGAAAGTATGAAATTTATTGGATTAAACAATTAAAAAAACTATCATATTTATTGTTTAGCAGAAAATTCTATTGAAGATTCAATTTGGTAATACATATTATTAGTATTATTATCTCTAATCGCTTATTTCCAATGACAGCATCAATACTAGGATGTGATTACATCAAGCTCAGGAGACTTACATAGAATGAAGCATGGATTGTAGATTTCATGACTAGCTGTTGACTAAATTAGAGTGTTCTTCGAATATGCTTCATTTTTAGTCATATAATCTATTATCATACTCAAAACCACATCAGATATACTCCTCATGTGTTGTAAATAGATCTAGATCTTGATGTAACATTATTAAAAAGATAAACTTACAGTTTTTAAATTAGAAGCTCTGTCAACTTGTACCGATTAGGACATTTAAGAAATAAACATCGATAAGAACAGATACGAACAGATTAGTGTAAGGTAGTGTAATAATAATGGGGGAAACAGGAAAGTACACTCAGAAGAGATCTTGCAGTTAAGGAAGAAGCAACCACTTTTTATGAAGAAAGTAAAAAGTTACAGCAGGATCGCCACTGGCTTCTATTCTGAGCCATATCTGATAACGTCTCTACTCGAGAACGTTTAGATAGAACCGAATTTCCACCATAGACGAGCAGCTGTATAACTCGAAAAATAAGGATAGACAGAGTAGGAATAAAAAAGAGTGTATAAATGACATAGTAAATAATAACAATAGTAATAATAATAATGTGAATCGTTTGATTAATAGTTGAAGCAAGAAAAATATTTTCCATAATTATCGACAGTTCATCATATTTGTGTGCAGGCTGTGATACTGCTCCGATGCCCAGACCGAAGCAGGTGGTTATTTTAGGGGGCCACACCCCGAGCCTTCGACCTGAAGGTCTGATCCACAAGGCAATGGAGCATCGTGAGGAGATGCCGTCCCATGGTAGCCGGTGACCAACGATTGGTTCATATGCCATTTGTTCCAACAGAATACTGGAGCCCATGTGGACCATTGGTTTGTGATCGGGTTAAAGCGCTGGACATTCGCTTTTCGTCCTCTCATTTTCGTAAACAACACCCCCGCCACGAGAAGGCAGTGAGTAGGACTTCCCTGGCAGAGGCTATATAAGCGTGGCCGTGTGAGAGTATTTCGAGAGAGAGAGCGGGCTCCCCCCACTCTTGGCCATACCAGGTCTTACGAAGATACAACTATATGATTATTTTAAGGCGTTTCTTAGACAATAGACACCACTCAATGAACCTGGTAAGCACTGGTGTTCACCTATGAGTTCACCAGTGATCAAATCCAAAGTGTTAAGGCATCGTGATGAGTGCTTGATTCTAAGGCCACCGAGTTGGACTGTGATGGTTTTTACTAATAGTCAAATATATGTTAATGTGTAATGAATATCACTTGCAAATATCCAGTTTGTTTAACTTCATAAATTGAGAATATTACTTAAATATGTCAATATTGAACACTTACCGGTGAATTTACTCAAATTAAGAATAAAATATTTGTCAAAAATGACAGTGAATTGCCAAAACTGGTTATTAACCACTCTACACTTAATGTTAATGCTTAATAAATATAAAACAATTATTCCCTTTGATAAGTTTTGATAATGATATTAATAAAAGGTCTAGTTGACCTTTTATTTTTTATATATAAATACTCTTAACAAGTATATGTGTGACCAGATTGTTCGAAATGTATTGCGCTAATATATCACATAGTTCTGATAATCTTCGTCTTCTAATATCATTATCGAAGCTTAATAAATAGTTCATTGAAAAGGTTAGAAAAGTTTACAGTTAAAAATGGTATTAAAATATAGTTTTCAATGCAATTTTACATCAGTTGAATAAAAACTAGGTTGATAACTTAGTTAAGAAAAGTTCTCAGATAAGATACTTAATACAGTAAACTAACTTTATAAAATCTTTGTTAAAATTGATAAAAATTGAATTTTAAATAGTACTATCATTTAAATTCAATTGGTATTGTTTTTGCTTATATCTTCCCATTGAGGTTTAAAACTGCTTATAAAAGCTTGTGAATTAAGGCAATATCGAGGCATACGCACAGTATGCACATATGTCAATAAAAGACTGATCAACTTCAGTTTTAAACTTCAGTGGGAAGATACAAGCAAAAGCAATGCCAAGTGAATTTAAATTCACCGCATTGCACAAGCAAGTCACTATCAGGACTCAGTAGCTGGGTGGATAACGCGATGGCGTTTGAAGCGATTGGTACTGGGTTCGAGTCCCAGGGCGAACATGAACTCTGAGATGCAGGCACATCCAGCTGACGAGTCCCAAATAGGACGAAACGCACGTCCTGGATTCCACTACTAGCCACTATTTATCTTTGCTTATAAAAGTACTATCATTTGTTATTTTTCATTCAGTAATATTTACAATTTAATTTATAAAAATAGAGATTTTTATAAGTATTTTTTTAAAAGTTAATGTTTTATGCTTTAATCATTAATCACTGACCAACAGTATACTATTTGTTTGCATTTATACTTTTTATTAAAACGTAGGCAACTTCTCTTCATGATATGAAAAATAAAGGTAAGTAATCTAACAAGTCATGTGTATTGTTTCTTGAAAAGCCATTTTTATGATTGTTCTGCATGATTTTTTTCTCTCTCTCTTATGGTTATGTATCCATGTGATTGTAAACGCTTATTATGGTTATTTTAATTATCATAGAAGATAATTATTACCAAATGAGGATAACAACCATTTAATGTTTCACTGTTTTTTTTACACTCTAGCAGTGATAGAAGGAAAACATATGAATAAAATGTTAGGAGGCAGAAATTGAAGTATTCTTGTGTTTCTCAATTTACTGAATAAGATAAATTGTAGTTATTGTGAATTAATTAACAGTTAGCACTATAGTATTGTGTTCACTAATGTAAGGCTATTAAATGTGATTAATAAAAACCGGTGTTTATCCGCAGAGTGTTCGTGTATCTTTTACCTTTTACACAACTATTCATTAACATTACAATGACATAATATACATCCTAAATGTTCGTACTAAAATCTGTGACTTGATATTGTAAGAAGTATGTCATAAATAAATGTATTATCCATAAGAAGCTGATGATTGATAAGTTTCATGGATATGGTAGAAAATTTTCAAAATGTAGATAATTTATAGGTTTCTAAATTGATAGGACAGTACCACTGGTTAAAAAGACCATTTTTTTAAAAAAATACTAAGATAATTACATTTGCAATACAGTTCATTGAAAATATTTGCAGAACATTGTATAGATTGGAATGTTATGTGAGAAAAGAGAGAGAAGAAATCAAAGTACTGGACAGACTTATTGTTATCATTACCTTTATGATTAACATAATTAATCATTTTAGTTAACGAGGTCAAAGTATGTATCATACATTATTTCTGATAAGAATAATTATGGGAAACATAGAAATTATAACATATAAATAATGAAATGTAAACTAATTGAATTAGTTTATATATATATGAATATCACTTTTGTATAGTTACAATTACATGAATTAAACTACCTTAATGAGGTGAAGTAAAATGATAGAATTTAAATTATAAATGAATTATTGTTTGATTAAATGAACTTTAAGAATTGATTCTGTTCTACCCTCCAATGTGGGTTTCTAGCAGAATAAATCCTTTTATTTGGATAGCAATAAATCTAATCAAAAATGTAAGAGTTTAATATTATTATTTCATATTTAAAAACTTAGTTGAATCTAAAGGAAGAAAATGTAATACTTCTTAAATAATGTATAACAACTGATTAGTTTCGTAATTTTACATTTTCTTTTAATATTTGGAACAAACTAAATGAAGTACCAGGGTAACAGCTTTTCTGCACATGAGGTTCTTGAAAAAGTTGAAGCGTTTGTAAGAAATGAATTCACAACATAAGTGACTCATGATTATTGATTGTTTAACTTTACACTCAAGAGGATCCTGTTTAAGGATAGATTTGATGGGTTCCTATTATCAGTAATAAATTTTCATGACGTTCTAAAGATTTCAAATGGCCGAAACAGTGATTATGTCATTGTTTTGTGATATGATCTTCATATAGAACTAATAGACCCGAAAGTTGATAACAATATGAACAAAGTTAATGGAATTCTATTTGTAAATACTAAAGGATATATTTCCCAATTTAAAAAAAACATCGGTTCAAAAATGTTTGTTATTTTGTAATCGGCTCTTTAGAAACCGCTGAATTTCAATTAAAATATGACGATACATAATTATACATTAAAGTACGATCAGAATATATATAACGATCAATTGAATTTCTTTATTATTTTTATTTTTGACTGGTCAATTTGTAATATCTTAGTTATAAATAACATAACCAACTGGAAATAATCGACTAGAATGAAATCATTTTATTTTCGAATAAAATAGCATTACCTAATAGCTAAACATCATACTACTTCTTTGAAAGTGATTGCACGAGATAACGTAGAATGAATATCATAATAAGCTTGCTGTTATATCATTAATAATATAACAATATTGCATGATTGATGATTGCATTAGAAGTGATTTATTTTATTCCTCATTCTCATGCAACACTGGTAAAATGAAATCATATTTATTTAAATAAAAATAAATGTTCGAATTAACATTAACTTTAGAAACTAGATTTTATGAAATGCCTTTACATTTAGTAATTTCAAATAAGGCGAACAAATGTCGTTTAAAACAAATACGCGACAGTAATAAACGAGAAGTCAATTTAAATTATGAAGATAATGAACGTAAACTTCATTTAAAAAGTACACCTGATCTTCGTGATAATACCAACTATAATAACAATAAATCAAATAACATCAGCGGATTAAAAACTAATGTAAATTTGAAAAAACCTCATCGAATATTCACTTCAGCTGCTTCAAAATTAACCTACAACGTCCCCGAACAAAATCTGATAAGAAACAACGAAGTCAATCTGATCCACGTCCGGTAATTAGTAGACCTATACCTGCAGAAAGTTCTCAGTTTAATAAACCTACACAAGATTTAACTTCATTACAATTTGTGAACAACATTGGGCCTCATAAAACGAATAGGCAAACACTGTCGCCACTGCTAACATCACAGGTACCACAAATCAAATTGAGTAACTTACGTCCAGTATCCGTGACAGGTAATGAAGAGGTTGGAATATGGACTGAAAAGCCAGTGGAATCTGTACAGCCTGGAAGTAAAACTGTAAGTCATTTTAAATTTCAGAAATGTAACTGATTTACAAAAAGTTATTGCTGAATTTTATTTAATGTTTAATAGGATTCTCAAAACTCACTTTTACCGTAACAATGTCATAATATAAATATACCTAGTTACGGTAAAATTATTTACCTCATTCTCTTAGGAAGGAGATTTTCCACTTTGCCTAATTTAGAAAATAAGTCACATCTCAACAGTTTCACTGATAGTGGGGATTTAAATAATCCAGTCATAACATTTGAATGACCTGACATACAAAATTATCTATTCACCGACTGACTTTATTCACCTATAAGTTCTACAGTGCACAGTAACCCTACTACAAAAGGCCTTGAGAGGGTGGGAGAACACATTGGTTATTTTACCGATTAGAAGCAAACATGAATATTTCGTAGCATACAAAATTGAATTTACTCCTGTTCATTGTTTTTTCATACTGCATTATATGAAACATAAATTTGACAAACGATTTGTAATTTATTTAATCACTTAACATTACGGTCTATTTTAATAGCGTCAACGTACAAATTTAGTTTAAGAAAACAATTGCCAAAGTAAGCTCGAAAAGTGAGATAATTCTAACTAAATTTTCCTATGGATGTAAGTGAAATTAAATATCCATGTTTTCAAGCATCCTTGAAAATGATGCCTTGAAATGAGTTTGTTGAGAACGTTAGTGTTCATTATTACTTTGCAAACTTTATGTCCATTTAAACTAGACATACACAAGATATCTCGAAATTACATGTTAAGAACGATTTATATATTGAAGAGTTATTTCTTTCTTCTAAGTGGATCATCATCTGCACTGAGTCATCACCTATAGGTGATTATCTGGTCTGTCCTTGCACCCACAAGTATCCATGGTTTTCGGATTTTCTTAATGAATCCTGCTCCATAGACTTTTCTCTCTGTAAAATTTGATTAATAAGGCTTTGAAAGGATCCTTGTGACTAAACGGGACCACAGACCACAACACTACCATTTTGGTTTACTGATCAAAAATTTCCATCGTGTGAATTAAAAAAAAACTTGTAAGTGAAAAGATTGTTTTCGCATATTATGAAATAACATGCATACGCAGAATTGAAAAATACTCAGCCAATCAAGGCAATTTCTGAGTCGATGATAACAATGAAGAAGATTACACAACTAATCATGTTAAATTAAAAACACAAACCGATAGTAAGAAGACAAATGAGTAGTAAGTACTATGATTATATAGACTTTTTCACAATTATCAATGACTGTAAAATCACTGTGACTGATTTAATATTTTGCACATACGGGGATAAATACTATTGCATATCATAGTGGAGCCTGATGATCTATTTGATCTATCTCCATATGGAGAAATTCGAACGCTTTAATTCGATCTAAGTTTATGATGATGATTTCGTTCAGAAGAACGATGAAAGCTTCACGACCAAACCATCCAGCTCAGAGAAGAAAACTCCATCAATATATATATATATATATCATCTTTAAAATTTAATATTTGTTTATCTATTGTGATTAGAAATTTTCACTTCCTGTCTTTTTTTCTTTTAGATAATAAACCAACTAATGGAATGTGACTTAAATTCAATAGAAAATTGTTCGATTTGTCATAAAATAATGCCAGTAAATGAACGTTATGATTTAGTTGATCAAGTGATACATCGTAACTGTTTCAAATGTTCATTATGTAATGAAACATTAACGTAAGTTATTTCAATTTTAAACTATGAAAAAGTAATGTACATTTGTACAAATTACCTAATTTATTGGTATATTTTAAAATGAACTTCATCACTTTCTTCACTCAATGAAGTGTCATACATATACAATCAAATGTCCGAAATGACGGGATGATTAATTAAATGACTATAACTCGACTATTCATTCAAAGTTCCATAGTAAATCTTTGGCATAAAACGACACATCAAGGTAGAAACACCGTTTATCTTAACTCATCAAAATAGCCTGCATACATAAAAAATGATTGATTAGTATTCAGTGATCATCAAAGATCATTGATAATCTCAAACATGGTTCTATGATCATTTGTACGATAAAATTGAAAAGTCATTTAGGTTCCAGTTACGCCATTGACGTTATTAAGATTAATATCTATTTGCTATTATTATCTTACGTCATTGCCCTTATTTAGTTCCATTTAATAAGCTATTAAACAGTAACAAGCGTGGAACATCTTTCTTGTTCTGATATCGAACTAGATCAAGGCAATTTTTCAATGCTCTAATGTTGGCTATTATTATTTGGTTATAAAAACTTGTTTTTCTTTTTATGGAAAGTTTTTTATAAAACTACTTAGATCATTAATCGTTATTATATCGATTATTGATTATTTTTTTTTAATTTCAATATTATTTTGTTTTAAAATTTCAGTGATAAAAGTGCAATATTTCAAAATGGTAACTGGTGTTGTGCACTACACTTTCGATATAATATGGATATTATCAATGTACAATAAAAAAATAATAATAACTGATATAATAATATCTTGATGGCATCAACAATCTCAGCAATAATAACAATGAAGGAATGAAAATTTATATCACATTTCTTGTATTATTTCAATCAAACAAAATCTAATCCTTACAATACCCATTTCTATCTTCTAGTTGTGATTTCTTTAAATATGTGGTTGGTTTGTTGTTTGCAAATAGTCTATTTTTTTTTCTTTCAAATTTACAGTGATTCTAAGATGAATGTTACTACTATAGCAAATGCTACTAATATTAGTACAAAATGTTATCATGTTTCATTATGTAATTCTTACTGGATATTTCTTTCTTTTTTCCAAAGAGAAAATTCGTTACATGTTTAGTTAAATTGATTGTGGATATTTAACTATTCCCTTTTTAAAACTGGTCAATGAATAAATGTCTAAGCACAAAAAAGAAGATGATGATCACGATGATGAACAGATAGAGTTATTGTTTGAATTTCATTTTTCATTCACATTTTGGGTTGTTTCTTTTTTCTAATGATTGAATGTGTTTTTTTGTCTAGTTTATGTTGTACTTTATTATTGTCCGTTTTTTTTTCTAAAATAATTTTATTCGTATCTTATTCACAGATCATTCATTGACATCAACAACAATCTTAGCACAAAAACAAGAGATTGGTATGTGTTATAATAAGAAAAGAAAAAGAGGGAAATCTTTTTTTTGTTGTTGATGTATTCATATATGTATATGTGCATGTGTTTGTTTATGGCAAGAGATGTTTAGACATGGTTAATGTTCGGTTAAATTTTTGTTTATTAAATTGGCATGTGATATGCAATGAACAAAAGTATGTGCATATGAGTATTAGTTGAACGCTTACTTTTTTCCTCTTCACTGTATAGGAAATAAGTGGGTAAAAGGATACAAGGTTACTAATCAATTTTATTATGATGGATATTTTAGAATTGATTTAAAAATATACATAATGGGAAAAAGTAACACAAAACATGTGATTGAATTCATAATTTTCACCACAAAACTATAATGTCGACAAATTTTTTTCTTTAAAATAATCTTCCTTACGGTCTGATGCTGGTTAGAAATTCTTTAGAAACCATGAAGCGATTGAGTCTTAAAAGAAATGTTTACAAACGAGCTGATGCTCGATTTACATCATAACTTTCAGATTCTTTACCAAGGATTGTAAAGGTAATCAACTTAATCATCGTTTAATAGCGCATATTGAAATTTCAATGAATTTGTGTTACCGGATACCAAGTGCAGTTCCAAATTTTCAGTGAAAATTGATAACTAGTGAAGTTAAGACAGTACTCAATACCAAAACAATTACATGGAAAATACAGACGACTACGTGGTGACTCAGTGATTTATCGGTTTCGTTCTTGGTATTAGACTGTAAGTTCCTGCGTTCTTCCTAAAATTGGCTAATGGATGCACATTGCCAGAGGGTCCTAAACAATTGAAAAACATTTCCTAAATACCTACAGGTTTTCAGTAGTGTATTAGTTGATTTGAATCTGTTTGGAGATCTGTCAGGAATTCAAACTGATTTCGATGAGCGATCAGGTCAACAATAATTCATTTTTTCAAAAATAAGCTATTCAAAACTTTTTCATATGATGATTTTGAGAAATTTTTGTGAATTTAAATTGACTGTGTTACTGAGAATTCTAAAGTATTTTGGAAATGTTGTTTAATGTGTGATGGCGATGGAATGTTTGACTCCAAAATAAATTTTTAGTATGTTCTATTTAACTATCCTAGATTTTGATAACTAGAAAATATGTACCTCTCACCCAAGGTTACCTAAGATAGAAGGTCAAAATCAACATAAGGAAAGGTCATATATTTTTGAAAAGCTTAGAGACTTTTATAGGTGTTTCTATTATTATTGTCATTATCATTATTAGCTTTATTCAATATTATATATTTGGTACAATGTAGAATTCTCAGCACAAAGTAATTCAGAAAGTTTCCGTTTCTTACTACTTTGTCGATCTTGACGATAAATATTGAGTAGTTGCCAGTTAGAAGTTAGCAGACTAGTAAATCGACATCTAAATAATGTACATTCTTTTGGTTGCATATTGCCAACAACCACGAGATCTGTGATTAGACCTTTTGTAACTTATACAACGAAAGGTTGTACACTTTTCAGAAACACACAGAAATAAATAACTTGTTGGAATATCTAGATAACAGGAGCATGTAGTTCAGATGTTCAAGCAGGCCGCCAAAGATGATGACCATGAAGTGAGTTTTTTCTTCAAGTTCCGACAAAGATGAAAATGTTATTACCGTACATTCGTGAGTGATTACAGATTTATTCTCTCGTGATTAGCTGGGATTAAGTTTATCTTAGATATCAAGATTGGTGATCCTTCTAAAAAACCTGCGTTTCAAGTAAATCTATGTGTATATATTCACTCAATCATCTTAAGAAGTATATTACTATTTAAATTCCCATATAATTGCGTAATTTTGTATAATTCACTCCTAATTTCTGTATATTTATGTGGTGGTGTATGTAAAAACTAGAACAAGGGTCAGTTTAAATAATATTTTAATTAAATAATTTTCAAGTACAGTTTGGTTTAATAGGTTCTTCCCATTTTCTGATCAACTAAATGTGATCAGTGTTTTGAATGTGTTCTCAGTATTAATTATAGTTTGATAACAAAACTCATCAGTAGATCTATTTAATAAATTGTTACGCATCATTTTCTCAGTATTCAATTGAAGAGGATTTTTTTATGGTTGAAAGGAAATAATTACTAAGTTTGACTACCAGGAACGTCATATTTCAGGCCATGAATTGTTTCATATCGGGAAGGTGAAAAACTAGACGTAATTTATAATAGTCTGTAATGGTTAATATATTTATGGTACATTAACCTCAGGATGTGACTAAATATTATTTTACATTTAATGGTGTTGATTACTTTTTTGAGCTCATTGAGAAAGAATATAAATTTTAAAGATAACAAAGCACTGCAGACTACAGTTCGCTTTTGTTAAAATGGCCTTTTGTAGGGATGAATTTGTTGTGAAAATGTTTACGAATGAAAATATCCAAATATGTCTGGCTAGTAAGTTGTCTTCAGGATAAAAGCCTTGATACTATATTGTACACACGGACATAAAAGATAAAAAGATTCTTATGATAACATGAAATTAAAGATTTTTCATTTCAAAATACTTGGTGTTAACCCATAGCTTAATTCCTCTTGACTAAAAAAATGGTTACTCACATATTGTGAACAAATGATGTTACAGATTATTCACTATTTACATTGAACAGACTAGGACTAAAGGGATAATCTTTATTGATAAGCCTCTAGCTACTCTCTCCACTTTTACAAAGAAACGACTAAAACTCTTGAAAACTCAGTCAAACCTTAAAAGTCAAATGTCATAATAATAAAAAAGACTTTTTGTTTAACAAACTATAAAATTCTAATAGATCTTAACTGGAGATCTTACCAAAACGGATCAAGTAAAACAGAAAAAGCACTTGTTTTCAATTTATTTAACATTATGTTGATCCTCTTGAAAATATTCATTTCTATAATTTGTAATTATTATTATGTTTTAATGAATGGGATTTTTAGGAACTTTCAATGAATCATCTATTTTGTATTAATTCATTACATGAATTGAATAAATCAATTCATGAATACATAACTATTTCTGCATGTGTATACTGTTAAGCCTATAAACCACTATGGTTTTTCTAACATTTAATCAATATAAATTATTATTATTATTATTGTTTGTTCTTTATTATAAATGATTAAAAGTTATTTGTTTACAATATGAACTTGATTTCTTCAGTGTTTATTTACTCGTTTGTAGATTTCTTTTTAAGATAAGACAGTTTACATTGATTACTCACTATGATATAAACAAATAAACATTTTAAATAGATTAGATTATATTCTTGATATGATAAATTTTCTATACGTTACAATATATAGTTTTAATGTTTTAAAATTATGACTTACGGTACTATCACTGAATGATTATGTATGTAAATGTATAACTATTGGCATAACTAATTCTCTTATTCTTACTTTCTTTCAAAATTTCTAAGGTTGAATTAAAAATCGTGTATGAATTATGTTCATACAAACATGTACATATGTGTGTAGTCAATCGACATATGTAGATTCAACCTAATTTATATATATATATATATATATATATATATATATATATATATATATATATATACACTTCAATATGATACGAAGTATTATAGTGATTAATTATATGGAAAATTCATAAAAATTTAACAAATAAAACTGGTTTTAAGAGGTATTTCCTGGAATTCTAATGAGAAGCAGTGACCAGTGGAGTTCAACCGGGTCTGCTTTGAGATAGTAACTCATTGAAGACAATAGTGGATGTGTTGCTTAATTTCGTGGATTAGTTGAAGTTAGACATTAACACCGATGGATACCGGTTAAGTGGTCTAGAGGTTAAGCGTATACGCGCAAGACCGATAAGTCCTGGGTTCGAATCTCTCGAGGCGGGATCGTGGATACTCACAATAGGACGAAACAGTTATCTAGTGCTTCCAGGTTTTCCATGGTAATCGAGCTTCAATTGACTCATGATCTCAACTACTTAAATATTAATTTCACTGAAATATGATTGTATTTATATAAACATTTTACTAAATAAACTTATAATCTACTATATTGATATAAGTAATATGTATTGAATTATCATGAATAGAGTTGAAAAACATATCTTTTTTAAATGCTTTCAGTAGTACATTTGAACTTATGTTTGTTAAAAGCGATCATTTGGACAGCTGTAACATAAGTCTTTATGCTTTATCTGCTTTGAACACTAGCGAAAGGTAGAAAACAGTGAATGAATTTTCAATAATCGTTTTACTTTTAAAGAGATCACAATACTCATCTATCAGTAGTTGGGTAAAAACAAGTCTCATACTATGGTAAATCGAATAAGAGAAGCAACCATTTAAAGTACAATATGATTACCCGTCTGCTGTATTTTAAACATTTCCAACAGTATAATAAGTTAAATTGATCACATGTGTTCGTAACTCACATACGTCATTTCGTCTATACAGTTATGCCTTAAAATATCAGTCAAATTTGGGGATTTCAACAAATTAATACAACCGCAAGTCCCCTTTAACCTAGAGTATTTTGTTAGTAGTTTATTCAATTAACATGGAGGTGAATATTAATGTTTTCTGAAACTTGAACCAAACAGCCATTGAATGCATATTTATTTGTAATAGGCACGTAGCATATTTCATGAGCACGTATTCACTTTCGCACGTTTAGCTTAACCAGCAAAACAAAAACTCATTACTTAATTATAAATAATATCCATTTTTAATGTATTGTCGAAATGTAGATGAAAAAAGTGAAAATGGGAATAAAGATACTAAAAAATCTGACCTTGAACGACGAATATCAAACGCCAGTGGTGGACGAATGGGAAATATTAGAAATAAGTTTGAATCAGGTGAAGTGAATAGTGATAAAAGGAAGAACAAAAAGAAATCTGCACCAAAAATGAAATATGCCGGTGTGGAATCAGTTAAAACAAGATTTATTGAAGAAGCTACAAAGGCTACAATGAGTAAGGTAGAAGATGGGCCTAGGAAACCAAAGGAATTCACTCCACCACCGGATGGTGTTGCTGTTGGTATATTAGAAAGTAATCCAAAGCCAAGAGCACCAGATGTGGTTACATCGGACGATATGTTTGAACCAGTGGATTTAAAAGAGATTAGTGAAAAAACAAAAATTTGAGGGCGAAATTTCGAAATATGGAAGCAACTGGTGGACAGGTAGGTCTCGAATAAACAGAATAAACTCTATTTACTACTTGCTTATAAATTTATGTAAAGTGGTTAAACAACAAATTATTTTTACTCAGAGTTATAAGCCATAATGTATTACGATCATATGCTTTTCAAGCTACTTCTTATAGTTTATAGAAATCTGCATTAAAAGAATTTGAGTATCTTTATTTGAGGAACATTGAACTGAATAAACTATTATACTATGCTATAGACCGAATGTCCATATGAAACTAAATGAACATTCATACATCATAAAATATGTTGTAGGTTGGAACAATGATGTTCAGTTTCAAAGTGAACGATCAGATGAGGTAGAAAAATAAGTAGAACACAACCAAGTTCTAAAATAAATTGTAATACGAAATGTCTAATTTGCTGAAAATATTTCAGCTATGTGGATGGAAATGTGTCGTTCTACTTAGAAAACATAATAAGTGTGTTAGAATCGCTTCAATTTTTACTATTTCTAGTGTTAATTGATTAGGATACGTTCTGATTTAAAACATGAACAATGTGGATCAATGGAAATGTTTATTTTCCTGAAGTTTGCTTAAAAACATTTGGATTCATGAATAACGACTGAACAAAGTTAAAAAAAATAATGAATCTATTTTGTTATATCCCATTGAGTAGAAAATTTGTATTTCTGACGTTTCATGACTTAATGTAGGCCACTTCTTCAGAGTAAATCAGTAACCAAATTAAATTTACACAAGTTTCCTCTGTACTATATAAACTTGTGTTAATTTAATTCGGTTATTTATCTACTCTAAAGAAGTGGCCTACATTACGTCACGAAACGTCAGAATTACAACTTTTTACTATTGGTATATTACAAAAGTAGATTTTAATTGAAATTATGGACTGACCAATGTTGAACCACGTGGAATCACTGGACGGCCGTTTCGTCTTAGTATGGGACACCTCAGCAGTGCGCATACACGATCCTGCAAGCGGGATTCAAACCCAGCACCTTCGTTCTCGCGCGCATTGATTGGTTCTTGATCTTAATTAAAACTCTACAATCTGCGCAACTCTATACTGATAAAAATGTATTTATTATCAACTTGCTACTCAATGCTCAATTTATTTGAAACTATCAAGTTCAAACTTGACACTGATACCCACAAAGTTACCAATACTTTATTTGTGTGCATTTACAGAACTGGTTATATAGTGTAATTATTAGAATCCAACATTGACAAAATTGGCTTACAAAGGTGGAACCCTGAAGAGTTATAGTAGTAACTGGATGTAATATTAAGGTGATGAGGAATACTTTTAGATCAGGTGGATGTCTTGTTTCGTTTTATGTTTTCTGAGAAAGATAATTTACTGGAAGAGCTTTCATTATTGTTCTAGACAACATCGTCAGTGCAACTGAAAATATTTAATTCAATATGAATCTATAAAAAGAAGAGCGAATATATGTAAAACAACCTTTACATAAACATGATCAGACTGTGGAAATAAAATAATACCATTTATTGCATTTAAAATTCCTTATCATTACTGCGATAATGCAAAATAAACAACAAATATTCAACGGTATATCATACTGACTTTAATCTAATACAAGTTTTGTTACAACGGACTTCAATGTATTGACAATAAATATTTTATGATCACTTATTTTCATTCCTGGTTATTCGTTGGTTAACTTACCAGTAATCAGTTACATTACTTCATCAGTACTACATCAGTAATGTTCTTGATGTTCTAGCATAAAAACGTTTGCATTCGTTTAAATGAGACATTGGTAATAATTATTCGTAAAATAATGGTTATAATAATCTTTTTCCATTCTAACATGTGCATTTTAGAGCATTGATGGAGAGAATCGTAAAAAAAGTTCATTCATTGATGAATCAATTACAGTTGCACCGGAAGCTACAAAAAATGCAAGAGCACGATGGAAGGATATTGAAAGTGGTAAAACTGAAAAAGATGCATTATCAGAACGTCCGAAACTTGATATACATGACGTAAGTGAAAATTATTGTGTTTAGTGCTTTCGTAGTTTTACTGAGAACGGATAAATAGGTGAATTTTATAATTGAGTAAGATACTTTTTTACAGACAAAGCATTTTATTACACTGAGTGATGACAAACAAACTGTACTACCAAATTTAAAATCTCGTTAGCTAATCACAGTTTATTTGATTTGCCGTAAATTATTGTTACTCGAAATAAGATCTTCATATTCTGTTTAGTAATAAGTTCATCATATCACTTGAGAACTTTTGATGAACTACTTTCCAACGGTACCTTATTTTTCTGAACACTTGCTCAGTTATTGAAACTCTATAGAAACTCAAGAAGAATAAAGTACAAGAACTATGAACTGCTTATATGTATCTTTAAATAGGATGTCATGGACTGTCAGGTCCCTGACTTAGACGGCAACCACTGAAAATCTCACCTCAAAATATACACTAGATAAAATCATTTGCAGTTCTATTTTTAAATTTCACTTAGTAAAACGTTAGTTATCACGTTGTATATAAGAAATTAGTCATTATTATTATTAAACTGCAATTGACTATTGAAACCATCATTTACAAGTTACATTTCAAATATACATTGATCGTCAGTAGTGTTCTAATAAATTTAAATCTCTTTTCTTTCGATTTGAACGTTTTCACATTTGTCACTCATTCTTTTGAAGAAATCCATCTTTTCTTCTTAAAAGAGACGTTAGTTTTAATGATATTAGGCAGGGTACCTATTATTTCCCTACAAATACCATCATTAAAATATTTGCTTGACAAAATTACTGCATATGAAAGTGTTACAATACTTAACTGACTCATGAACATTTAATTTCTAGAATTTGCCGTTAATAAAGTCTCCGTCAGCAAATGACATTTATGTATATTTGGTTTTGATTACTAACTGATCAACTAAGGTCAGCGAGCATTGAATCGTTATTTTATTTTAGTTTCACAAACACGATCTTACACGAGATAGTACTAGCACCTTTGAATACAATATAATACCTATATATCGTTAAGATGGGACATAAAAGTCCACATTTCTAATCTCATTAAATTTTCAATACCATAAAACGTCTGGCACTAGCTAGTTTGTAATGACAACTAACTTTAAATTCCATAATCTCCGCAAATCTTTCCATGGTAATATCTTTTTTGTAATTAATGAGTCAAAATAATTATAAGTGACAGATTTATAATAACAGTTCAGAAACCAGTGAGTAAATTGATGAATGATGTTAGACATTTCATACTGATTAGAAAAATTTAGTTAGACTGATGAAGTAGGATCCTATATATATTGAAAAATCATTTTTAAAGACAGTAGTCAGAAAATATCCAATTAACCGTTTCTATCAGCGATGAATGTAATTTACACCATCCAACAATGAACTATTATATCAGGTTTCGGTCGGATTTTGTTGACCAATATCACTTAATTTATTTTGAGAGAATTCAAGTGTTCCTTCAATAAGAAAATAATAGCTAGAAATATACGACGCTTAGTTCTAATGATCTAATGAAAATAGTTAAAGTAATCTTGTGACATTTTCATGAGATTTTTTTTTATAAATTGAGGTATTTAATCACAAAATATGGAAAACAATAGATTTATTTCTTAAGTTTTGGACAGTATTTCCTGAAAAGAATCTTTATTTTGAAAATTCTATCTGTTGTATTTATATGAAACTGACGTTATTGATCTCAGACATTAATATACTATGGATAAACGTGATAAACATCGTTTGTATTGGTTGTTTGAATCTTCCCGTTGGTGTTTGAGTCTGTAACTGACCAGTCTCATTAGACATAAGTGCACCCTGTGGGATCTCTTCACTATTGCTATTAAGTAATGAACATTTTAAGCAGAGATGGCTGGTGAGTACTAGTAGAATCCAGGACTCACGATTCGTATTATCTGAGACTCGTCATCTAGATGTACCTCTATTACAAAACTTATGTTCACTCTCGAACTCATACCAAGTCCCTCCCTATTCAAACCTCAAGGTGTTATCCGCTTAATGACAATAGAGAGGCAATCTGTATAGGATGTATCCAAACAACTATGGGAAGAAACAAGCAACAAATATGAATGAATTGAAATTAACTACATTGCACAACTATCTAGAAGTAATAGCCAAGTGGATTACACGTTAGTATTTCAAGTGAAAGACCCCAAACATGCACCTCGGCTTAAAAGTAATAAACACTGTTTCAGTTCTCATAATGATATGTTACAACATAAATGCCAGCTGTCAGTTTCTGTAATTAATTTTCAAATCTAATTAACCTAACCCTTTAAAGATATATGAATATATTCATATATTTCTTGAAGCTACTTGCTGTGACGAAAATCTTTACATTCTGATTGTTTGTAGGTCCACTTCAGTTGTAATTTGCCCAAAATATTTAAGTTTATATCTATAAGACAAGAATGTTCAACTCAAATGATAATCCTTATTGTATTATTTCATATCCCTTAGATTCCATTAAATAAGTCTAGATGATGCGTTACCAACATTTATCAAACTTTTTGGTCGATATAAATAAGGAGTTTGGATTACATTGTTCATTAGGTTCTCTGTTAGACGATCCAACTCAGAGAACGCAACAAAACCGATAATCATACATAATTATACACTTTCTTACATATTTCAGCCTTAGCTATATATTAAATATCGGTTTACAGGTAAAAACCTATGGTTTTTTTATCGTTTCATAAGTCATATAATTGTCAATGAAGTAAATTTAACTACTTTAGTAAGACTAAAGTAGTTTACCTGAAAAACAAGATCTGATATATAACTTCGTTTGAAAAGTTCTAATCAAATCGTTAACGAACTTCATGTTTACATTTATAATCAATAAACGGTAAGAAATTAAATTATAGGAAGTCATGAATACGTTTATGAATAAAATGTTTCGATTGGTCAGGAATGATTTAGTCTTTACGCATTATGTTTTTGATGGATTCAAGGAAATTTAGAACTGTATTACTAATTTGTCATGTCAGTCAAGCCATATCGATTTGAATTAGTTGTTTGATCGATAAAGTAACTAGTTTGACATCACGAAATCTTGAGAATAATTTTGAGTCAACAATAAGTCCCATAATTTTAGCACTGAAATAACTTTGATCCGGACTTAATAGACTTTGTTCAGCATATATCACGAATCATTTAGTACAAAAAACTTTCTCAGCAGCAGCATTGCTTCATTTTACATTCAGGTTAAATGAGAATAAATGATGTTTGTGTTCGAGCTGTAGAATAAAAAGTTTATCCTTGAGAAAATTAACAGAGCACTTTGTTACAAAATTCATTACAGAATGCTAAGGAATTTTAACAATGACTATTCAGGCAAACTGAATAAGTAGTTACTGTGTGAACATAATTCACTTACCATATAAAATAATACCATAAATCTTACAGTAAAAAACATAGCTCTCTTTAAAAATTTAATGTCATATACTATTTATAGTTTTAGATCATATATCTTGATTCGTAGTGAAAGTAAATAATCATTGAAAATGAAGGAAGACTTATATTAGTTTTATTCCATTAGTTTCATCAATTAATAAATATCAAAGGTAGTTGAAAGAAAAACAACACTTTATATATTCAGAGAAGAGTCAAATGATTGAACGTTGGAGAAATTTAAATAAACATCTTGAATTAATTTATACTATTTTGTTTTAGTTATTTGACTGACATATTTACTTTAATAAACAGGTAACTATGTTCATATGAACTTAGAACCATAAACATTATCATATTAATGTAAATTTATTTTGTTAGAATAATAGGTTTCAATATGTTATTGTTCATAAAATTTTATTCTCTTGTTTATTACATATAATCAAAGGGTTATGGAGGGGTTTATGAGAATGAACCTGAAAAATTCGAAAATATCGCTAGAGCTGGTGAAACAAAAAAGATCTACCATCTGGTGTAAGTGCTAAAGAAAGACGTGAATTATTTTTGAAGAAAGCTGCTGATACTTCCGTTGTAAAGAGAGATAGTATAAAAGTGAGTAAATGTATCTAAGTGATTATTGAGATGAAAGTAACAAAAGAGTTTGTTCTGACTAGTTCAGGATAATCGATTACTTGTTTAAGTTAACTAAAGAGCGTAGTAATTTACAAATAACTTAATTTATTATAAGACTGTAGTTTCATTTTTAATTCCTCATCACCCATAAACTTTATTATATGTTAGAGCGAAGCCTAATGTTCTAGTTCACATTATGGAAATTCTTAAGTCACTTGAGGAATCCGTTTGCAATTAAGGTACTCAATAAGTTCCTAACGTTTAATGCCCGTCTCATAGAAGCTAAAAACTTCGTTGGAATTGGTTAATGATTAACTATGGAAATAGAATAAATCAAGTGGATACCGATGTGCAGTTTGAGAATTTAGTTCCACAAAGAACAGACTTGGTCCCCACCTTACTCCATGAACTTACTAGATTTAAGAGCGTTGGTTGATATCTACCAACAATACAAATATCGTAAATATACCGTGAAATTACTAATTACCGAACAACATCGAGATGCTTTACATAAGCTTAGAAAATATAAAACTCTGACCACAATCAAGTCAGGAAAAGGAGGATGACTAGTTCTAATGAACAAAACTATTTGCATCGATAAAACGAACTCAATTTTGAGTGTTCCGACTAAATGTACGCTTCATTGTCCAGTTATCTGAACACTTCTCATTACGCAATCGTATAGTCGTTATAAATGTTATTTCAGCATCTATGTTTTATAAGTCAATGACCTATTTCCTACTATGAAACATGGATTGAAGCCTTTGTTATTCTTATCACAACTAGTACGCCTATTATCACACCATTAATTTGTACTCCTGACCTATTATGTTATCGATTCCAGTGTTATCATTGACCAATAAACTGCCATCATTGGTTTAATAATTGTGTATATACATATAAATATTAATGTATATAAGAGTGCAGCCTTATGAGGATCTAACTGAAGACAATAGTTTCCGCTTATACGTATTGTTCTAATTTACAATACAGAAATTTTCACAATGATATTTAGTTGAAGATAAACAGCTGTGTTTTAGTAAAACTTTATGAATTATGTACCCAAGCTAGCACTTTTCAATGACAGCATACAAAGTTAGTTCGCATTTCTTTGCATGAGTGGTGAAGAATCACACCTATGTAAATAAAACTTACTAATTAGAAGAATAACTGAATTTCAAAAAGTTTCTGAATGCCTTATACATGTGAACTGTTGAAAATTACTCCACAAGATATATCTGATAGTTCCCTCATTTTTTAAATGCTTACTCAAAAATGATATTAATTTGCTTTATCCATCTCTATAGCTTATAGATATTAATGCTGCTGAAAGTGGGATATATGAAAATGAACCAACTCGACTTGATAATGTAGTCCGTTATGATGACGATCAAACAGATGACTATCCAAGTAATTCTGTGAAATGGGCATCTGAAGCGAAAAACAGATTTATACAAGAAGCATCTAAATCACAGATAACAACAGGAAGTAACAAGGTAAGTTATCCCGTAGAAAGGTGTGCATCCGGATAAATCAATAACTGTACTGAAGATAAACGAAAAAAAGAGTTGAATAACTTCATCTCTACACTTTACAGTCATCAGTCCATAATTTTTGTATTGTAATGAGTAGTATAAAGCATACATATTGTAAGGTATGGTTGAAGCAGACATGTTAAAAATGGTGGACTATTATAATGTTTGTACTTACGAAATGTATCATTTGTAAAGCTGAAAGGTCATATAAGCAGGGTTAAGAATATATCACTGAAATGCAGTGAGTTGGAATTAGCACACTAAAATCATGTGAATATCGAACACAATGGTAGAAATTTTGTGTTGGATTAATTATGATAATAATAATAAAGGTTTGTTTATTCAAACTCCGTGTAACAGTATTAAAAAACCTGTTCAGATATTTATTTAATTGGATATACCTATATATCTGCATATATTTACAGACAATTATATCAGATGATCATCAGCATTGTCACTGAGCTATATATGTTGGTAGAATGCATGTGATAAAATCACTAACCTAACTAGTAAGAAATCAACATGATGAAATTTTCCGGAGATGGTTAACATTTCATTGTAATTTACATCATATAAATAATGGTCAACGGAAGATAGCTCTAACCAGTTATGTAAAGTGCTTAGAACAATGATTTCAAAAATAATGCATCTCTATCAAGTTCAATCGTATTTCAACTTCGTATAAAATGTTCAGGATGAAAATATGTTCAGCGACTTCATTGAAATAAAATACATTATTTGTTATTTTACTGCACATATTACATCCAATACAAACAGTCGTATTCTGTGTGAAGATATGTTCATGCTAGTTAGAATTGACATTTCAAATAAATGATTTCTAATGACATGTAATAAATTCACCTATTAATTCTTAATTTTAACTGGAACACATTATTACGTGGTACAGTACCTAATGTTGAATTATTTTAAGTATAACTATCGTCACTATTTAATACTAACTAGCAACCATATAATAGTCAGCATTAAAGATCTTTTAAAGATATCCTCATCTGCTCTTATTAAAAATAATAGGCATCCTCTACATTTTTCTGCTTTCAAAATGATTTCATCTATTTTTTTACATATCATTCAGACTATTTTATTGGTTGAAGATGGTCATACAAATGGTAATGGTGATGGCGCACCAAAACAAGCACGATATACTACACAAGCTAAACAAGCCTTTTTAGAACGTCAGAAACAAGCAGAAGAAGCTGCGAAGAACAAAAGTCGACCAGATATTGTAAGTCGATACGTTTATTTAGCGTGTGTGTATCCACCATTGAATAGTGCTGCTTAATTAATCTGAAGATTAAGTTTTGGGGTTAAAGAACGACTAAACATACTCCAGACCATACTTCTGTTTTGTTGGAAAAGTCAAATCTCCATCAGATAATTTTTCTTGATGGAGTTTTGTTCTCTGAGCTGGATGGTTTGGTCGTGGAGCTTTCATCGTTCTTCTGAACGACACCATCAGCTCAAACTTCAGACAGAAGTCAAGTGTTCGAATTTCTCCATATGCGTTTCATAGCTTGTTCTGTACACCTCGATGTTGATTGGTTCTTATTGACCTAAATTTGCCATTGTTTTGGTTGTGTCTCCCATTGGTTTGATTTTTGTTCCTATATTTGTGCATAATTTTCCTGATTGGTTGATTGTGCTGACAATGTCGTTCAGAAGAACGACGAAAGCTCCACGACCACAACCATCCAGCTCAGAAAAAAAAACTTCACCATCTCATGATAATTTTTCTCTCTGATAAACACTTCACCTCAGTATCTTTCACGGTGTAATAATACAAGGGTGTTACTTTCACGAATCATGTCTCTTCATTGACAATACACTATAATTTACAGTATGTGAGTGGTAAATTAAATGTCATTAAAGGGTCATAAGGGGCGTTGAGACGAAATCTAGTTGTGCTATCAGTGATCATGCTGATATTTAATTGTTCATACCAATGTAATTAACACGTTAATTGACCCAATAGATACAAGTCTTTAAACTTTCTTATTACCATAGTGTAGACGAAAACAAACCGGATAACTATAACTTCAGAAACACTAGATTTGTGTGAGGGTATTTATAAACACTTGTTTGTCAGGATTATAGACTTAACTGATATCTTTATCTTTAACAGTACGTAAATGTAAATTGTCGTAAATGAGCATGTTAACAGTACCAAGTCTAGTAGTAAATGACTATCGTCGTACTAAATCACATAAATAAGGTTTATGATAGGATTTAATTCAGTTTAACTATACATATACCAAAAAATCACTGTTAACGATAGACAGTAAAAATTAACTGAATACCGTTCACTGTAAAATAAGGTCCCATGTTTTTAATCATTCGAATTCCCTGAAGATTATCGTGATACATATATTTTCACCTACTAAAGCATTCACTAAAATACCCGGATAATGGCAAATTAAAATCTAACTTCATTAAGTTACCATTGAAAGTAACGGATTATTCGTGCGTGAGCATGTAGTCAGCCGGTTACAAATTATGGAGATATAATCGGATTGTACTTATTTTATGGTTGATTTCTTAAGATTTTTTGCAAGGATTTAGCTATATGTTGTTAATAATTGTTTACTTTATACTGATATTCTGTTTCAGATTGATATATGGCAAGAACAATGCCCACACAGTGGAGTATTTGAAAATGTACCAGCTGCTCATACAGCTGATGTGGTAGTCACTGACGAATCTGAAGAAGACGATGAGGAAGAAGAGGAAGAGCAATAAAACCCTTCTAACCGAAAAAGCTTTATCTAATTAGTATTACTCATACATATGCGCTGTCACACATCATGTACACACTCGGAAGTATTATGTAAACCAGATGAATTATTGTTGACGCCAAAAACCCAAAGAAATGACTTAACATTTCTAAGGAAGGTGCATGCATGTATAGCTTTCTTTTCTATCCATCCGTACATCTATATATTTGAGAATTAAGCTTGATTGAGCCATGGCTCACTCCCTCTTCTTGGCACATATACAGTCATATAAAACAAATACAAACTATTACTTTGATCTGTCAAATTAAATGACATATTCTTATATTATCATTGTTATTAAGGAATAACAATTCGAAAGAAATGTACATCCTTGTGAACAATGTCCAAGCTGCAAGCAAATGTTACTTTTCAGGTTTGCATTCCACAACTACTTTCCTCTTTTAATTATCAGTTTCTTAATGCAATTTTATTTAAATATTTAATCACAGTGTACCCACACTGAACATGCCCAAATGGCAGTGGAATTATTCCATTTACCCGAATGAAATGAGCAGTTCAGTTGGTAATGAGTATTTTAGTCCATTTTAAGATCAATGCACCTGTTATTATCATTGTCATTGTTTGTCATTTACATTAACGAAAATTAATCGAAGTTGCACACTACTTGATCATGAGAGTTCTAATCTTATTTCTATGGTTTGTAATATTTTACTATCACCAACCCTTGGTCTGTTTAGTGTATGGCTCCACACTTAGTTTCACCGACTTCTCGATAGTGTTCATCTTTAAGATGTTGCTTTGCTTTATTTCGTAGCCTGATACGTTCATAAGAACGGTGATATCCTAAAATAATGATTGTTTAATCTTTACGTAATTGTTTCGTTGGCTCATTTCCTCGTTAGTGACATCCGGCTACTGAAGTAATAATGTACAACACGCTTCCTTGTTGATGCGCCGAGAGCGTCCGACATCATACATGGACGCTCAGAATCTAGTATACCTCTACATTTAGCTCATCCATTATACCCACTTTAGATTATTAGGATGATGTAATCTCTTGGGTTGACATTATACATACTTCGAAATCTATACAGATAAACAAGCATGGATATGGGATCTTCAATTCCCCCGATTATTCAAAACCTATTTAAACATTCATTTTATTAATTGAAAGTGTAATAAAAATCGAACATCAACCAACGAACAGGATCACCACTCTGGTCATCTTACTCCATAAAGAAACTAGAAGCCCAAATAAACATAATATTCAGATATAATTTCGAGCAAAAGATAACGTGAACTTTGGATTCGTAAAAGTCAAGGATGACGACATCAAACGACAGCAAAATGTATCCGTAAAATCAACTGAACCATTTTTAGTATTGTTGAACTTGTAACATGAGGCTAAAAGGAATCACACGGTGCCTGAAACATTGCTAAGTCATTAAATGATTTGAAAATAGGTCAACGATGTCAGTACATTTTACAGACAGGACACAAGATTGCTTGGCAAAAAGCTGAGATTACGTGGATTCACTCAGTGTGAGTTTTACCAACATAATAGTAATAGCAAATCAACCTTTAACAATTTTTTATGTTAGTGATACTTTTCAACGAATTTATTATCAAGCTGTACAATCGTATATATATGAAAATTTTGTTTTTGTAAAAGTACTAATTCCGTGAGGAAATGTGAATATAGTTAATATAAAGGTTATAATACTAGATTACGTAATATGAATAATAACAATAACAATGGATTTGGTGAATATAATAAGATGATTAAAGTGTTTTTGATATAATAATTAAAGGTCATAGAGGTGTACAAAAATAAACTGATATGATGAGCGTTCATGCATAAAAAATGAAATATAAGACATAAGTAAGGGGAAGCAGTAATAATAATAATAACATTAATGGTAGGATAATCAAACTAATTAAGGCCAGGTAACGATAACGATAAGACGTACTTCTTTGTACGCATAGTTAGTTAATTGACAATATAACTACTCAGAATGAGATGATAAAAACCATAACAGTAGCAGTAGTATATGATAATTGTCGTTTCAGCTGTTGTGTGAACTAGTAACACAGCACAAAATTTTAGTCAAACTTCTACTCTTTTATCTATATTGAACACCACTTTAATATTAATTCTATCGAGACAGGTACGCTTAAAGATTAACGAGACAACTGGATAAAAACGCGATTATGATATTGAACTCCGGTCGTTCAAACATATGGCAGGGAAGTGAAGACTTAACTTTGAATAACAGAGTAGCAAACTTACTTACCTCCGATTTATTGTTTTCATAAACGTTGAGTACAGTTTCACACAAAAAATTATCTTTGATAGACAAAATTTTTTTATGTCAGTGGATCAAACACATGGGTTGCGTCGATTGTTATTGGTTAACGCAGTAAGCATGCTTACATATCTAAATATTTTATGTATACAATTAATGGTAAACATAATCAAAAGCCGATACTATCCACAAATTCAAAAAACGAGGACTCCAATTCAATAAGGTTATATTACATTTAAAAATACAATAAATGGCAGAGGTTTGGAAGAAAGGTGTTTTATTTGCCACATTCACGGAACTATCAACATTTGTGCTAACTCTCCTGAATCGGCTAACTCTCGTACGATATCCACGCCACCCACTAACTCCCCCTTCACGTATAATTGTGGGTAAGTTGGCCAATTGGAATAGGACTTCAAGCCTACAACAAAAAAAAACGAAAACTGCAACACATCGTCAAGGTATTTCAGTAAAACGAAACTAAGTTGCAACCCAATGGTGGACTGGAATTTCAATTACTAAATAGTGGGTTTCAACCTTACTTCACTTTCAGTTTAAGTATCTGCTGGATCCTCTAGCTCATAACTGACAGGAAATAATTGAAGACTAATATATGAATTCCTACTTGGCTAAAATCTTATGAGGAAAGCTTAAACAAATAAGAACTTCTGTCAAGTTACCAACGAATTAAACTGTAAATTTTCGCAACCGAAATTTGAATTACAAAAATAAGTTAATACAGTTAGAGAAATAGTGAAGTATTGGTGACTCAAGTATGGGAATATAAGTCCAGGTTTCAGTCGCACTTGATAGGATGGGGTTTAAACTTGTGACATAACAACCGAAAGTCGAGCGACTGACCTATTTAACTAAACTTACATGAGATTTGATCCAAAAGCTTTATCCGTGATTCCAAAAATCACATCTTAATATCTATACAAATTTTTTCAATCTCGAACTACTATAACTCCCACGCTAGGTACGGTTTACTAACATATCACAGAATAGGATCAGGTGATCGAATGATCACAATAATTAGCGAATACGATGGAGGGTAGCAGAACGGGCTTTAGAAACTATCAAGCAAAAGAAACTTGACGTTTAGATTTATCTAAATGGTACTATTTTGTTTATTCGTCTGCTATAACCAAATAAACGTTATCATAGAACATTCTATAACTAACAACGTTCTTAGTTATCATATTTTTAAGGATTTCTCTAAAATTTTACAAGTGGATATTAGGACTGTTAGCTAATCTATATAAGGCATAACAAAGATTACATGTTACGAATGAAACATGAAAAACAAACGGGTTATATGAACAAAAATATATCGTCATTGTAGTCAGTTAAATACCTCTCCCACTAAACATTTATAACTGTTTCGCAAAACGCATATGTACAATCAACTATAGGTAAAGCAGTTGATTAATATATTATTCTTGAAATGCTCATTCTAAGCAACAACTCTAAAAAGATTAGCCCAACTCACGAGCTCCAGCACCAACAAAAATGAAACTTTGTACGTTCAGTAAACATATCACGTACTAGACCCATAGAACTACGACTTAAAATGTTTCAGTGAGCATTCCTTCAGATGATATAACTTTTGTATGCATAAACACTGGTTGAAGTGTTTGTGGTAACAGTTAATCACTGTGTGCTCAGAATGTATGAAGTCAGATAAAATAAACAAATACATCTAGGTACTTGCTACTTATCTGTTAAAGACAAAAAAGTGAGATTTATTTGGAAACATAAGTGCTGGTACTGAGAAGACAATTGAAGTTCGAAATACTACAAAACCACTTCACACATTAAACTAATAAAAAAACATTTTAAACCCATATTCAATAAAACAGGAAACTTAAATGTTGATTAAAATTCGAACGAACCTTGTCGAACCACTTCATCTTGTAAGATGTCAAATGTTTCAAACTTAGCATTATTAGAACGCAAAATACTGACGATCTGGCGGCTAAATCCACATCGGGGTTCTTCGGGGCTACCTTTCATAAAAAGCATGACAGGTGCCTTATTAATTAAAGAGTGAAGACGTGATGAAAGATCATTGGATGAACCATTAGCGGGTGCTGATTGCAAATTCATGACAGATTTTGTAACATCAGGAATAGATGCACCATGAACGCGATTGATTTCCTCACTTGACTTTTTGATTAAGGAAACAATAATATTGGCAGATTAAACAATTAAAGCATTGATATTAAGAATCAGTTAATTGGATGACTACTAGTATACTCAGACTATCGCAAGTATACTGCAAAAATAATTCATTAATCCCCTCTACATGAGCGACTTTGGAGATAACTACTATATGATTAAAGACTTACCGGTACTCTGACAATCTCTAATTATGACTTAAAGCTGAATGTAAAAGCAAAGGTAGTCTTATTTCAGTTTCATCTACACGGACTTGACGTAGCGAAGAGATGTGATCAAGCACGAATATCTTACGAATGGCTTATTTTCCTGAACTAAGGGGCATCGGACAATGAGAAAACCAAGCTTTCTAGGTTCCATTGCTAAGGAATATACTTTTTTCATCTCAATGGAAAGTTCCGTACAACTGGGTTCTTGAGCGATTAAGATACGAACGTTAGCTGCTCATTCTAAGTGCATTTCAATCACAAAATAAATACAATCGTTTACGCTGAATAGAAAGTGTAACCTTGATCTC